AGGAATGCGGGCGAGCCACCACCACGGGCATCGGGGACAAAGTCCCTGCAGCGCGTGGGGCCAGGTCGCCGGGTCAGCTCTGTGCTGTGTTCAGCGATGATAGGCCAGGTCACCAGCCCCGTGGTGCCCAGAGATCTCACCGGGCCGGAGATGAGCGGTCCAGGTGTGTCATGAGTCACGTGACTGCCATCCTGTAGATGCTCCTCCGGTCACCGTCCAATACCTCAGGACCAGGTTCCCGTGTAGCGGCGAGCCCTGATGGAGTTATCGGCCCAAATTCAGTTGACAGTTGCTGAGACGTAGAGGCTGGAGGTTTGAAAAACGCACGAGCAGAGGATGATAGCCGGACACGAGACGAGGATGTCCTGGGGAGGCCGGGATGACAGAATTCCTGCACCCGCTGGGAGGCGGCGTGTTACCGTGTCTGGCACACGTGGTGGGGCCTTTACGGTCTTTCATACGTGTAAACTTGTTCACAGATCTAACGGAAGCCATCTTTCTGTGAAAATTTACACACTGCCCGTGCACACAGCCACACACTGCTTGGAGGCTCATGGGCCCCCTTTGAGGGCGCACTGTCTGAGAGCCGCGCCCGCCGTCGGTCCCAGGATGGTGTGCGTGCCCCTACCCCACCCGTAATAGCCAGTGCTGATGGTGCCCGTGCTCAGAAACGTGGGTTAGATTTATCTTCCGAGTCCAAACAGCTATAGATATTGGAAAGTGGGTGGAAACCCACCGGTACCTGCAGCAGTAAGCCTTAAACCCAGAAACGAGTGCCACTTGCCTAGAGTGGAAGTCGGCCCGGACGGGAGAGCCAGTGGGAAGACGAAACTCCCCGCGCCATTCCACAGAAGGTCAGGGTTTTCCTTCGCAGCAGTACACACGCTTACTAATTTTCCACACCGTCCAAGTTCTAATGTCAAAATTATTTAAGTTTAAAAAGTAGCTGAACATGAAAAAAATGTGTGCGATTATTCAGACGCGGGCTCACTTAGGGGCTTAGCCTACCGTTGTCCGTGGAAACAAAGCAGTGCTGCATTTGCAGACCAGCCGCCATGCTGTGTGGCATACTCAGAATGTCCTTATGAGCCCTGGGTCTGTGCAGCAGGTGCACTCCCGGTTACTCGTGCGTCTGCTTTATCAGCATAGCGCCCAGGGGTGAGGTCCTGTGAGTGACCTTTGCCCGTCTTTGTCAGATGATGACATGTCTGTTTTAAGCTACAACTCTACACTAGCATGTGTAAGACATGTTTTATTACGTGACACATTTTATATGTGCACACCTGTGTGTGCACACACATGTATATGCACTCCTAGCAAGTATACATGCAAATACATGTGCACATGCACACACACACACTAGCCCGCCACAACAGGAAGAGAAGGCTTTCCTTCCGCCCCTGGCCCGTGTCCCCTGTTGCTGCCGGGTTTGAGCGGATGTCTGTGAGTGTGAACTCCTACACGTCCACCTTTTTGTAGAAGCCCGGGGCTGACCTTCCGGAAGAAGACGAAGGCGCTAAGAGAGTTGACCCCCTGCACCAGCTGATCCTTCTGTTCAGCCGGACAGCGCTGACGGAGAAATGGTATGGGTGTGGGGAGGGGTGTGGCGGTGTGGGACATACCCTGGAACCCACGTCACATGTTCCTGCTCGGGTTTCTCGTCAGGGAGCGGGTGCTCAGAGACGCGGCGTTTGGCCTACACCTGTGGACTGGCACCCCTCCGGACCAGGGTCTAGTTCTCAGCTGCTTTGCCCTTAGCTGGTTTCAGAGCTTCTGAGTCTCTGATTGCAAAGAGCCTGCAGAAACAAATCCCGACACGCCACGCCCCCACGCCCCCGGCTGGCCGTGCGCAGGGCTCTGCGGAGCCGTCAGGCCAGGCGAGCATTGTCGTCAAGGGGCACGGGTTCGCGCCCATCCTCCTCGCCCTCTGCAGCCCTCAGTCTTCCAACTCACCAGAAACTTCGAGGCCGCGTGGCCACGGCGTGCAGTGTCTTCCCACGGCCACCCCCCAGACCGTCTCTGGCTGGGTCGCTGTGACCGGGGCTGCTATGCCTCGTTGCCGGGTCTGCCACGTTGGCTGTACCGGGAGACACGTGTTACCGCCCCAGTCCACGTCTTCTCCGAAGGCCTGAAGGGCCCTGACCTCCGCGCAGGCCTGCCGCCCACCACTTCTCCCCCGCCTCCCGTGGTCTTTCCTGAGCCGAGGGCAGTGCTGTCTGGAAATGAGGCATTTCTCATGGGTGAAGTTTAAAACTGCTAAAGTAACTGACATTTCAGGCTTTTTAATGATTTCTTTTATGGAAACTGTGTGTTAGTGGTTTTGATCGTTCTTAAAAAGAGGACACTATAAATGCATTTTAAACTGGTGTGGTCTCCCTCTCACTGGAGCGCAGTGATGCGGGGTGCGTGGAACGTCGAGTGTCACCCCTGCTGTCAAAGCCCGCCTCGTTCAGTTAGTCTGCCTCCCCCTCCAGCCTGTGCGTGACCAGAGGCTGCTCCTGTGACACGGTGGCCTTCTCGCTGAGGCCCAGGGCAGCTGCTCACTGCTCTGGGCTCGGCCTCGGCTCTGTCTTGGAATGACTGCTGTCTCAGCTTTGTGTTCCTTTACTTCTGAAAAAGGCTTTTCTTCCTTTTTTTTTTTGGAGAAGCTTTTGCCATAGGGTATGTAACGCTAACCACTGGTCCTAAAAAGTGCTTTTCTAAAAACAAACAAACAAACAAAAACGGCTGTTCTACACAACGGCGGCTCATTTGCGTCTGGCCAGACGTCCGCCCGGAGCTGACTCCTCCTTTGTCCCCGCAGCAAACTGGAGGAAGACTTTCTGTACATGGCATACGCGGGTATCATGGCGAAGGTGAGTGCCGCCCTTCCTGATTTCCGAGTGCGACTTCAATAAAGGGGACTCGCTCTCACCTGACTGGGGACCAGACCCCACCCAGCTTGGGGTCAGAGGTGCTCCCCATCCATCTCCCATCCGGCCAGCTGAGTTCCCCTGGGCCAGGGTGCCCTGCCATCTCGGGCGCCTGTCCCCACGGCACGGACGTGCCTCGCGTGCTGCAGAGTCGGCCAGTGGCCGTAGAGTGGCGGCCGGTGCGCGGTAGCCATGTGGCCACGGTCAGCGGCCGTCCTGCCACAGTTGTCCACTGCCCGCTGTGGACGGAGCACGTGGTGGCGTCCTCGTCGCCGTGGGAGTGGGGCGAGGTGTCTCTGTGTTTGTGTCTCCGAGCACGAAAGACTCGAGAGCTGCAGGGTGAGAACGCGCCACCTGAGGAGGGGCCGGCTGCCTGTTTTCGAGTCACTGCGTCTGCTCCTGCCCCTACCGGTGGCTCAGTCCGGTGACCTACGCTCCCCGCAGTCTGTGTGGGTTTTCGTCAGCCACAGGACGTGAAACAGCGCCTCCCTGGTCCTGGCCGCCATTGCTCTTGGTCAGGAGCTTTCTATTCTTAAAAGTCCCTTCCTCTGGAGCCATCAGATGGCGCACGGCTGAGGCCTGGACCTGGTGGATTGAAAATCATGCCCGATGTGAGCGTGCGTGCCCAAGGTCCCAGGAGGAGAATGGAGAAGGGATTGCGGCGTGGCCATCCCTCCTGGGGGTGATTTCTCACTTCTCCTCTCACTAGCAGGCGCATGCACACTAAGCCAAAAACCTCTTCAAGGAAAAGTCCCCTGGGACCAGCAGTTAGTGTAATGGCTATGTCGCTGGACTCCCATGTAGTCGACAGTGGTTCGCGCCCCAGACCCGGTGGCTTAAACTCACGCCGGGCGCGCGTGTGTGTGTGTGTGTGCCCAAGATCCCGAGAGGAGAATGGAGGAGAAGGGATTGCAGCGTGGCCATCCCCCCTGGGGGGTGATTTCTCACTTTCTGTCTCTATGTCTCTCTCTGCCTGTCTGGTGAGCGCACACGCCCTATAGCAAAAACCTCTCCAAGAAAAAAAAGGAAAAGTCCCTTCTGTTGGCACAGCGTGACACCAGAGGGACCCTGCACTCTGCTGCTCCCCGCGGCCCCCACCCAGTCATCCGCCATTCCCTGCCTTTGTTCGGGCAGTTCATCGAAACATCATTTTTAATCTTTTTTTTCTGTTTCTTTTTCTTTCTCTCTCTCTCTTTATTTTTTTAGTTTTTTAGCTACAGAGCAGGTGCACTTGCTAGAAAGAGACAGAGAGAGAGAGAGAGAGACAGAGAGACAGAGAGAGAAAGACAGAGAGAGAGAGACAACGGGTGACAGAGGGAGAGAGAGACGGTGTGAAAGCACCCGTGGGGGAATGTCCTCACGGCAACCCCTTCGCCGCCGCCGCCGCCGCCGCCATTCTCTTCTCTGGAGTACAGGCGTGCACTCAGGTGCTTTTTAAGCCGTTGGGTCCAGGGCTCAAAACGCACACTTGGCCACGTGGGATCCAGCACACTAACCACCATGCTATCTGCTGGCCCCAGATATGCCAGAGTCTGAACTTCCGGTGGAGTTCTTTCTTTTCAGCCTGCCTCTATGGGCCCTGCTTCCATCACGCGTACCCCCTTCAGTGTCCCCCACTCTGCCCCGTCTCCCTCGTGTGAAGGTGGGCACCCCGGTGCTCTGCTCTTGCTGGCCTTCCTGCCTGGCCCCTCCTGAGCTGCCTGAAGCGCCTCTCCCATCTCAGCCCCAGCAGAGCGGTCTTAGCTACCTAAACAAGTGGCAGCGGGAGGGACCTGGATGACACTGGCTGAGCTTCCGGAATCTCCTCCTGCTTCACTGACTCCCGAGACACTAAGACGCACCTCACATTGTGCCCGGCTGTCCATGTTGGCTAAGAGGGTGAAGTGTGGGCTGCTGTCGGTGGGGACCCCGTCTTAGCTGTCAGCTCCAAGTGACAGGCCCAGTCTTCACCGTCAGTGCCTACTGGGCGCGGTGGACCCACAGGGTGACCACAGCTTGAACCCTTAACCCGGCCAGGCTGCATCAGGGCCAGGACCACAAGTGCCACGATGCCGTGGGCTGGGGCCTGGGGGGTGGAGGTGTGGCCAGACCTGTGGAGGGGGCACCTCTCTCTCCGTCTTACTTGTGGGCACACAAACTCTCTCGTGAATAAAGAAAAACCAGTTTCTCTCTCTTCTCTTGAGCAAGCTGCCAGCTGTAGGGGTCAGCCAAGCTCTCGCAACCTTTTTGGAGAACAACCCTAGTAATGAAACAGCTTTACATTTGTTTACATGGGGGATAATATTAGTAGCTGTGAGAATTACTTTTTATTTTTTGGAGAGGTTTTTAGTATAGGGTGTGTGAACTCCCCGGAAAGACAGAGACAGAGAGACAGAAAGCGAGAAATCACCCCCCAGGGGGGATGGCCACACTGCAATCCCTTCTCCTCCATTCTCCTCTCGGGATCTTGGGCACGCATGCACACACGCCTGGCGTGAGTTTAAGCCACCGGGTCTGGGACTCAAACATGGGAGTCTAGTGACATAGCCATTGCTCCAACTGCTGGTCCCAGTAGCAGTGAGAATTATACTCTCCTTCCTTTGACCAAATACAATAAAAAATGACCTGAGATAGGAGAGGACTAGTGCAGTGGTTAAGGGACTAGGACTCCCACGTAGCTGACATGATTCTAGTCCCAGACCTGGTAGCTTAAAGCTCAGGCCAGGTGCACACGTGTGCCCCAGATCCAGGAGGAGAGTGGGGAGGAGGGGTTGCAGCACGGCCACCCCGGTGATCTCCTACTTGCCCTCTCACAATATCTCCCTGTCTCCCCCTAGTGGTGGCGCGACTGTAAGGTTCACTTTAATTATGGGTAGCGCGCTCTATTTTCCCTTTATTATGCCAGGGATCACATGCATGAGAGAGAGAGAGAGGAGAAAAAGAGAAAAAGGAGAGGGGGAGAGAGAGGAGAGAGAGAGGGGGAGAGAGAGAGAAGAGAGAGGGGAGAGAGAGGGGGAGAGAGAGGCACTCCAGCAGGACCTGGCCAGGCCAGTCTCTTCCGTCCAGTTCTCCACCTCGTCCAGACCTGGCACACGTACTTCCCGGCTGCTGGGGCTGACACTTAACCCCACACTGCCCTTGGGCTTTGCCTCTGCTCAGCGCTTAGCACAGTGCTGAGTGGGTCCCTTAGTTAGCCGTCCCACGGGCCCTGGGTCAGAGAACTGTGTGCAGCAGAGAGGGGGGAGACTGGCCTTGCTTGAACTGCAGCTGGGTTTGAACTCGGCACACACGTGGGTGTGCGGTGTCCGTGGGGTGGGGCTCGGCCATCCGTGTCCAGCAGCGATTCGATGTGCCGGCGCCCTGGAGGCTCTGGACGAGCAGCCTAGCCTTCTTTCGTGTCACAGGCTCCCTGACGGGCCACATGAGCGTGTGGCACCTGGGCGTGTTAAACGCTGTGACGGAGAAGCCGTGGGCAGGTGCAGTGCGCTGTCGGAGTCGCGCTTCTGCCGCTCACGTCCTCCTTCTGCTTTGTCTTGCATGTGTCAGAGCTGTCATGACGAGGAGGACGAAGACGGCGAAGAGGAAGTGAAGAGCTTTGAAGTAAGCTGCCCCCAGACCAGCTGCCCATCTGAGACCCCGGCTCATAGCTTAGCAGTGACCTTTCTGTTCTCGCTCACCGGCTTGTGGCCGCTTGTGCCCAGGGACTGCATGTCGGAGCTGGGACCCCGGGTCCTCACATCGCTCCATTCGGGTGGAGAGCAGAGACGTGCGCTGACACGAGAGAGCCCATGTGTTCAGGATGAGTGTCCGGTGGCCCTCAGAGCAGAGGCTGCTCCAGATTGCCACGGCCTTGCTCGGCGGTCTGGAGTCGCCAGCAGACGTGGTCAGGGTGCACTGCCCGCAGGGCACCGGGCCTGTGCCTATGGCCGCCCCCTGGCGTGCCATGTCTGCCGATCTGGCCCTCCCACCGCTAGGTCACTCATTCCTGTGCACAGTCGTGGCCGCCCGGTGGACTTGGCTTGCATGGGTAGGAGCGCGTGTTTCTTAGGGCTCTGCTCACTTCGCGACTCTTCCAGGCAGGCTCAGATGTTAAAGACCAGGACAGGGAGAAACGCGGCTTCACGCTCACCAGCCAGCAGGGAAGTCGGCCATGCGCCCTTCGCCCGCGATGCACTCGGGCTTCTCGTGAGCAGAGCTAGCTGCTACTGACTAGCACTCGTGTTACTGGTTCCTCTTAACTTTAAAGAGTTTTCAAAGAAATTGAGCTGAAGGAAATAAGAGATTAGTCTTTTTTATTTTCCTATTAATATGCATGTCTGGACTTTGAGCTGCAAGTCTGGAATGGCCAGAGTAGCCAGCAGGGAGTGGCTAGTTGCTGTGGGACCCCTGAGACTCCCCTGTGGGACCGGGAGCCGCACGTCTGAGCGACTGCAGCCTCAAACTCCGTGTGAGAGTCAAAGCCGAACTAGTCTGAGAGTGAGCCGGCAATCCTGCTGGCCGGGAGAAGTGCCACAAGATTAGTTTTTCCTGTACTCTTTCTAGTGTATGTGTTCTGTTCTCAAACTTTTCTTTATTATTAAGAAACTCAGGTAAATTAGAATTACCCGTGAATAGCAAATAACTGTTTTCTGAAGTGCACAGCATGTACAGCCTCAGTCGTCTTCAGAGCGATTGTTTATTGCTGTTTTGCTTCTTGTCCTCACCCTTCCTTAAGGTCACGGGATCCCAACGCAGCAAGGTAAAACTACCTGTGTGTGTGTGTCTGGGTCTCAGTTTCGGTTTCTTGTGACGTTCACCTTTGTCAGACCCAACGTCTTGAACTCTTGTGTAGCAGATTGTCTTGAACTCTTTCTCCGGGCTCGCGTCCCAGCGCGGCTGCTCTTTGCGATGCTCCGTGGCATGCACTCACCCTTCTTGCAGCTCAGTGACTTGCAATTGGAAGTTTCATTCTGCAGTTAGCATTGAGCTGCACTGTGTGGGGTCAAAGGGCTCAGCCCCACGGCCGCGCGCAGACCAGGACCTCCCCGTGAGGACTTCCGGCCATGTGCCCTTGACGTTTTCAAAGCAGGCTTATTACTTGGAAACACGTGATAAACGGCCCGGCTGGCCAGTGGGGAAGCCACCGTGCCTTGCGTGCCCGTCAGCGGTGGGCGATGGTGGCTGGTGACTAGAGGATTGTGGCATTTCGTTAAAGGGAAGGACTAGATGGCTGTTTTTGTGTCTTAATATTTGGAATATCGGATTTGAAAATCGGCTAAAAAGCATACTTCGATCTAGAACTACTTGACTGTCTAATGTCCTCTTAAGTGTAAGCTCTTCTGCTCCACCGTGAGCCAGTCAGACACGTGCGGCTGGGCGACCACGGGCCGTCGTGACGGCTGGGGAGACATGACAGAGCCCCTGCTCGCGAGCCGGACGGGACGTCCCTGCCCCCACCTCCGGCCTAGCAGGGGTGTGAGCCCGAGTCCCCACGCACACTTGCAGGTGTGCTTCCATCCAGCGGGCAGAATGGTTCACGCCCTTCGGTGAGCATGGCCCGTGTGGCGTGTCCTGGATGTAAATAAGGACGGGGCGCTTTGCAGCTGGGAGACGTGGACTCCCCACACGAGTCATCTCAGAATTCCTGTGGGTGTCTGAGGGGTGGAGACTCAAAGGGCCCCGTCATGGAAGACCTGACGCCCGGGCAGTGCAGGACTCACGCCCGTGCATCCACACCGCAGGCGTGAGACGCTGTCGCAGCCCAGGAGACCGTTTTACTTTGAGAGGGGCAGTTCCAGGGAGGGCGCCATGCAAGTCCCAGGTGGCCAAGCAGGCGCCATTAGGAAGGTCCCTTACTCAGGAAGGAAGCTGGGGCTTGGCTGGGTATGTGCTCCCTGTGGTCCAGGGCTCGGGCCATGCCGGACCCAGGAGGCAGGGGTGGTGTGAACCTGGCCGGAGGGGGGCCACCCTTGGCCGTAGGACGGGCGAGTCCCCGTGACGCTGAGACCTGGCACTGACGCCCGAGCAGGGGACTAGCCCAGTGTGAGGCAGGGCGCGCCGTGGCGGGTGTTGGCACTCCCCACACAGCAAGGCTCCCGGGTGAGGCGTTCCCGCCCCGCAGCTGCTGCCTCACTGACCCTGTGGTGCAGGCCGCCTCGTCCCCATTGCCTCGTGCATGTAACACACTGCTCTCCGCAAGACACTCCAAAAGGGCTAGAAGTTCCTCAGAACGGAAAGAATCGCATGCTCTGGGTCGACTGTGCGGCCCCGGGAAGCGGACGCCGGGCTCACGGGGCCTCGCTCTCCGCCGGTGGCCATATTGTCCCGGGGTCTGGTTGTCCCGCGCAGTTCAGAGACAGCCTCGGCTGGGGCTGGCCACGTGAGTCGCAGTGGGTCTGAGAGCATGGAGCTCCAGTGAAGCTTGTAACAATGATGCCGGCCGAGTTTGGATGTAACGAGGTGTGCGTCAGTTAAGTCTTAGAGCTGTAAGGGGGCGGAGTTCGGTTTTCCGTAGTTTCTCCCCCAATTCTTTATCTCTAAGGTACCCAACAGAGACAGTGAGAAGGGGGCGAAGTAGAAGTAAAGGACGTTCTCCGTGGGGACACAGAGCCCGGGACCAGCCCCGTCCACCTGTGCTTGTCCATGTGGCCCTGGTACCACTTGCCTGACCGACGAGGCGGTGGGAGTCCCTATTTCATCTTTAAGATGAGGGGGCTTCAGGAAGTTCACGGAAAAGTCAGAGTAAAACACAAGTATATTTTGCTACAAAAAATGTGAACCCCACATGGTGTTTCATGCTGTGCATTCTCCATGAACGCTTTGAAGGCCCCAGATGTATGCAGATGAGCTCTCCCTGCAGATATGTTCATTTAGTCACTGTCCTGCATATTAATTAGTTTTTCTTAGATTTGAGGCTTATGCAATTTTACGACCATAAAAAAGACATGTACATCTAAGTGGGCTGGCCCCGTAGCTCAGGAGTTAAGAAAGCTGGATCCCACGTGGCCAGTGACGGTTTGAACCCTGGCTGTGGCAGCTTGAATGCCACTGTCCGTGCCAGCATTTCTAGGGACACTCTGGCTGGAAGTCAGGCACACGGCTGCAGCTGGCGAGGGTGGGGGAGCGGGCAGTGGGGAGCATTGGCCCCGGGGCAGGGGAGACACCAGGATGCAGGAGGCTGCCGTACAGTGATGGCCCGGATGGCGAGCCCTGCCAGGTCAGCACTCTCCAGGGCACACCCAGCGAGCTGCCTGGCCCCGCCCTGCCCCGTCTCCACCGTGTGGGCGCCAGCTCAGCTTTGTGGCTGTGAGTGGGGCTGTGGCTCCGCCCTCCCAGCTGTGCGAGGCTGACAGCAGTCAGTGAGCTGCCTGCATTCTCGCCGGCCCGCTGGCCTTCACAGCGCACACTGCCCGCGCCTCAGCTCGCTCCTCCCTGCCAGGAGCTCTGTGGCCTGCTCCCAGGGGCACGGCGCTGCACATGGCCTGGCTCGCTGCTCATGGGGCCTCTCCATTTTTCATAGCCATTTCACAGTCCCTCCAAACGCACAAGTATCGATAAAGCCCGCACATTTTCTTTGGTTTTCTTCTAATTTTTGAGTGGATTAAAAAGAAAAATAAAGTCCCAGTTTTTAGAATCAGAACGTCACGGTGAAAGCATGCTGTAGGTCGTGGTGTCCCGTGCTACGCCATCTGAGCGCCGCCGCCCTCCGCAGCAGGTGCCAGGCAACAGTGCCGAACCGCAGGTGGAGGGAGCAGACCCCTGGGGCACGAGCCAGGTCTCACCCGCTTGCGTGGGTCGTCAGGCTCTGTGGGAACCAACATGAGATTACGTCCATTAGAACCTGGCAAGTGGCATGGTGGTCAAGGGCGCTGGACTCCCATGTGGCCGACCGCGGTTTTAGTCCCGGATCTGGTGGATTCCTTTCTCACTTTCCCTCTTTCTCTCTTTCTCGCTGTGTCTCTCTCTGATCAAAATTAAAATAAATAAGTAAGTAAAGAAAGTTACGGCAATTTTTTAAAAACGTTGTGTCCATTAATAGTTCACGATACCACAAAATAAAGAGAATTCTCATGTTTGGGAGAGAGAGAAACTCCTGATGGTAGGGCCCAGTAGCGCTCTCCTCCCTGAGGGCGGTGTGCCATGGGTAAAAGCACCCGCCAGCCCCCGAGTGGCCGTGTGCAGGCGGAGCAGCTGCCATGCGGCATAGCCCAGGGTGCCTGGCATGACCGGAGGTGCCGGTAGAATAGGCGGGCCGTGTCCCCAGGTGGTCAGCAGGATGGCCCGTGGCCACCGGGCAGCACCTGCCTGGGCGTTCTCAGGTGCTGGAGATGGTGGAGCCAGTACCCGCCTGCCCTGAGGGCTGTAGGTGTGGAGCCTTGAGGGTGGTGGCCCATCCCAGTGAACTCTCGTCCCCCTCCCGCCCCCTCTGGCTCTCCTGACGTCTTACAGCAGTCATGACCAGCAAGGGACTCCTGTCACTAGCGGTCACCAGTTACCTCTCTGCTCTTCGTTTGCTTTTTTTTTTTTTTTTTTTTAGCTATAGGTTGCTTTATGCGTACCATAAAGACAGAGAGAGACAGAAAGCAAGAAAGCACCCCGGGGGGATGGCCCCACCACAATCTCTCCTCCTCCATTCCCCTCTTGGGATTTTGGGCATGCATGCACACGTGCCCGGCGTGTTTGACATCGCTGTGTCTGGACTTGAACCGCGGCCAGCTACATGGACATCCAGTGACATATCCGTCACGCCATCTGCTGGTCCCCGTCCTCTGCTGTTGCTAGACTGTGGGAGGAGAGGGATGTCATGGCACGTGCTCCCCGTCAGGGCAGTGCCAGGGCTTTTTGCCAGAGAGAGCCAGACAGCACCTCCCCGACGGGCACGGGCACGCTGCAACCCTTCTCCACTTCCCCGCCTGTCGGGCTATGGGGCCCGTGCACGCGCCTGACATGCCTTTTAAGCCATGGGGCTGGAGTCCGAACTACATGTTGAGCAGCGTGGGACCAGCTCCCGTGACTGCCGTGCCATGGGCTGGCCCAGGAGCCGTGTTTCAAAAGCATGATCACGCAGGAAGTAGTGGAGGCCGTTCTGAGCCACATCAGCTGAACACGTGTTCCCTCTGCCGGCCAACCTCCGTGGTCTGAGAACTTGTGCCCTCGCTGCCTCTAGACCCCACGTTGCCCTGCTCTGTGGGGCTCGGAGCCTGCTCCCCGGTAGGGAACGCTCAGACCTGGCTAGTCTTCTAATTTTACGTAGGCCGAGGCCAGGACCAGCACTCCTCCCAAATGGGAGCGCAGTGTGCAGGGAGTCACCTGGACGAGGTGTCTAGCCCTCAGAGCCCCCACGGTCACAGAAGTGGGCATCCTTGCTTCAGAGTTTCAGGGGTCTCTGACCTTAATTAAGCTCTGACACCATTTGAACAAGCTGGCTTGGGGGAGGGGTGTTTTCCCCTTTCTGTAGACTATTAGGAACTGCCCCTGCTTTGGGGAAGCAGAGTTTCAGCGGGCCACCGTGTCATTTCAAAGTGCAGTAACAGGAAGTGGGTGAGGGCACAGGGTCATGGTGATGGAGAGCGGGTGACAGCCACGGCCATGCACGAAAGCCCACCACCGGTTCCTTGTTACTAACTACTTCCTTGACCATGCACTGGAGGTGACTAAGTCAGCCCCCCAGTCCTGCAAGGGTGCACACCGTGGGCGGGTGCGCTGTGCCATGTTTCAGTTAACCTTGACCCCAAAGCCTGAGCCAGCTCGTTGGCGTGTCACACTCCTCGGTCTCCCTCGGCTGCCTGCCGGGGGGCCATGCTGGCTGTGCAGAGCGTGGTGTGGGGTGTGTAAGACAGACTGCTCTGGCCCTGTCCCCATGGACCTCTTCCTCTAGGCAAATCCGTGCATACTGAATTAGCAACAGACAAGCTCGGGCCCCTTCCGTTATCGTCCTTGTTCATGAGAGGGAGCACACACATGCCCGTGCGGGAATGCCGCCCCGGGAGCACAGGGCAGCCCACCGTCTGTCTGCGTCTTCCAGGGACGGGCCTTCCTCGTGGTCCTCAAGGTGCCCGGCTTAAATGCAGGTTGTCTCCGTTCTGGGATAAAGCGTTCCCCCCGGGTGCCGGGGACAGTGGCACCCAGCCCTTTCTACTCCAGTGCGTGCTTTCTGTCCGTGTGTTGGAGCACCTTTCTGCTTCTCGGCCCTCCGGCACCCACGGACAGAGGGGACACGTCGGCAGTTTCAGCCCAAGCTGGACTGGATGCTGAGCACCGTCAGTGATGCTGAGCTGTCTCTGGGTGCCCCTGCTGCGGACAGACCCCTCCCAGCCAGTCAGGATGACAGCAGGGGCCGGGAGCTCTGGGCAGTGGAGTGTGCGAAGGGAAACTCACGTGTGAGATTGCTTTTCTCCTCCTCCTCATGACCTTGGGAGACTTTAAAGTCACGGTGCAGATTGAAAGGGTTATGGGCCCTGAAGACCCTCACCAGTTGAAGCAGAACCCAGGCAGGGAACCCTGCTTTTCAAAAGGCGGCTTCAAGTTGTTTCCCCCAAGTAAAGGACTTCTGAGAGCCCCATCTGCAGCTTGCTTTGAAAAGCATGTTGGCAATAATTTTGAAGAGAAAACTTTTTTCCACACAAAAATCTATCATTTTATTTTTTTAAATCTTTCCGGTTGAACTTTCAAAGTTATCTTTCTTTATTTTGTGATCAAATTTCCCAGCGAGGAAATTAAATGACATACCTGGAGAGGTTCGCAGAGGAGAGATAGAGGGGAAGGACGTCGAGGAGTCAGGCAGGGCCGTTCCCAGCCGTCTAGCCCCGGAGCTCTGGCCCCCACTTCTGCAGGTCAGGGGTCTGGCCTCGATGACGTCCTTGGCACTGAGAAAGGAGCCTGCCGTGGTCAAGGCATGTTTTGTGAAGAAGGCGATTCCTGCCTCACTGCTGCGTTTTCCTCCTGAGGGCATCATAATTCCAGGTGCCGGCATGGTCCTGGAGCCTGGGACCCCTGTGAGGTGGCCCTGTGGATCTCCGAGCATCTTGGAACCCTCTGTGAGGTGGCCCTGCAGGTCTCCGGCCCACCTGGAACCCCGTGTGAGGTGGCCCTGCGGGTCTCCGGCCCACCTGCCCACTTTTACACACGGACCACAGACTAGTTTCCCTCCCTTGGGGTGTGCGGCGAGCTGCTGTCTTGTGTCTTCTTGGGGTTCCCAGTGCCTGTCCCTCTCTGTTTTGGGGGGCCAGTAGAAGGACCGTCCTTTCTGACTCCACGGCCTCTGCAGGGGATGAGCGCCACAGGGCAGCCCCTGAGCTGACCAGTCCTTACCATTTTCTTACTGAGGACTTGCACCAACGGAGCTGCTGAGCTGTGAGCGCGATTCCCGAGCGGCTCTGTGAAGGGAGAGGAAGATCGTTGGGTCTACAAGGAGGAGTCGGATGTTACCCGGTGGCTGGCAGGCGGAAGGCTGTCCCCAGCTGTCCCGAGGCCATGCTGTGGCGCCCCTGTGACTCTGTGTGTCTGTGTGGTTCTGTTACGTCTGTTTCCGACCTCACAGGAAGAGGTTTAAATATGAAGGCGCCCTCTGAGATGTTAGCATGGCTGCTCCCAGCAACGCTGCCTCGTTCTGTTCCTTCCTCTGCTTCCATTTAGGCCTATCACGTGATTTAAGACAAAAGTAAAATCTAGCCACAGGAGCTCTAACCACAGTGTGAAAACCCTGATCAATTTTGTTTTCACAGCACGATATTATCAAAGATTTAAGGGACAAATTTGCCAGCCTCGGCGAGAACTCTCTGGTAACGGCATCAGTGTCTGTGTTGGCTGCTTTGATTTACAGGTTTCTTTTCTCATTGTTCGAGCCCATTCTGCCCTTTCAGTTTCCTTTATTTCTCATAACCCTAACGAGCAAGCCTTCATTTTTTAAACCTCTTCCATCTCCCAGTGTGTCCCGTACGTGGATGGAAAGTTTACGGCAGCAAAGCCTTCGCTCTGGCCACCTCTGCTACAGCGCCCCGCTCCAGGGCACATCTGCCTGGCCGTGTGTTCGGACATGACACCTGTTGGCGCTCATGTCCCACTGACCAAGCTTCCCCACGCCCGTGAGGGACCGCTGCCGTGGGCTCCGCAGCGCCATCTGCAGCTTCTCCTGCTCGGTCCCGCCAGCGCCAGCGCTCAGGGCACCGGTGCTCCCGCGAACGCTGCCGGCCTTGAACCCTGCTGTGCCTTTATATTTTACCCTGACCTCCTTCTCGACGTCCCCAGTGGCAACTTAAGTGGAAAAGCGCAGCCCAGCATTGCCCCAGCAGTCCCACACAGTCCCGTCTGTCCCCACCAGGGAGCACAAAATATAAAGGCACACGGCATCTCCCCTCGGGGACTGCGCGTGCCATGAGCCCACCCTGAGCTGAAGCCGCCTCCTGTCCACACCAGCTTTCAGTCCCGCTTACACTCCGAGATGTCCCCGTTCACGTGTTCTGTGGCGCAGTGATACCTTGCCACGCGGGCCATTGGCTGAGCGGTGTCGAGTTAGTGGCCGTGACACGGAGAGGAGCACCGTGACACACGTGTGCAGACCTGTCGGTCAGACAGTGCATGTGTCAATCACGCAGTGCAGAAGTTCCCAGCCGCGGTCCAGGCTGTGGACGGGTCAAATCCTTAAACTGAAAAAATCCGCCCTGATAAGCCAGAACCAAAGTCTGCCAAGAAAAAGTCAGGGGCCAAGGGTCGGGTGCGTGCCTCCCTGGAGTAACTGCGCTGGTGTTGGAACGGCCCGGTGTTGTCACGGAGCCCGCACGTGACGGGCCGAGCCGGCCCTAGGCAGTGGCATGCTCCCGACAGCCACGACATGTAACGGTTGGGCTTTGTGTTCAGGAGAAAGAGATGGAGAAGCAGAAGCTTCTGTACCAGCAGGCCAGGCTGCACGACCGCGGGGCCGCCGAGATGGTGCTGCAGACCCTGAGCGCCAGCAAAGGTGAGCCCGCCCTCCCGGCGCCCGCCCAGCACGTCCGGTGCATGACGTGCACGACTGCCCTGTCACCGTCGGCCCACGCCGTCCACGCACGTGGGGCTCCGGCCTGCTGGGGTTCCTGCACTTCCCTTCCTCGCCTTGGGGGGCGCCATGTCGCTGAGCCCAGCGGCTGACATGTGAGCACCTGGCACCGCGAGTCCCGCCTGCTCAGCCCCGTCTGCACCATGTGTGGAGGAGCCCGCGCCATTACAGCGAGCGTCCTCAGACAGCCAGAGGGCACCTCTCTGCAGCTGAGGAGGAGGCAGTGCTCTAACGGGCGGGCCGCCACTGCGGCTCTGATTTGTGTGGCCTGAATAACTGACGTTAGGGCAGTCATCTTGGGGCCAGCGGCTGCTGTGGTGGTTAAGCGCTGGATTCCCACGTGGCCAACTCCAGGGTTCAAGTCCTGGACCAGTGGTTTGAAAACTGTACCAGCGTGTGTGTGTGCCCAAAATCCCGAGAGGAGAATGCAGGAGAGGGGATTGTGGTGTGGCCGTCCCCTCCTGGGGTGATCTCTCACTTTCTCGCTCTCTCTCTCCGACTCTCCGGTGAGCACACGTACCCTAAACAACAGCAAAGAGGAGTCATCTTATAAAGCCAGGCTATAAATACATTAAGATAAAAGTGGTGAAGCGAGAATGGTGAAGTTGTTCAAATAGTGTGTCGAGGAGGAGGTTTGAAGTATCTCACGTTCATCTTACTGTGTCAATACACACGGTTAGTTTGAATGGGAACAAACTCGAGCTCAGCAGTTTAAAAGCAGCGGTCCCTCCTGTGGCCTGGTGTCTGTGTTGTTTCAAGGCTTGGAGACGCTGTGGGTGTGAGAGGACACTGCCAGTGGGGTGACGCTACTGTCGCCTGCGTCCGCGGCCTGGGCCAGCTGGGCCTGTGGCAGCACCACGCCGCTGAGACACGCAGGGGACCAGGGCGAGGACACGCCACGAGCAGACCGGGCGTTCTGTTTTGCAGGTGACAGTGGGCCGATGGTCGCCGCCACGCTGAAACTCGGGATCGCTGTTCTGAATGGGGGGAACTCCACGGTGCAGCAGGTGAGGTCCGTGTGCCCACAGACCACGTGGTGGAGAGCTGCCCACCATAGGGGGCTTGTGCCCAGTGTGCACACGGGTCTATCTTGCTGACCACACGACCCCAGAGGGTGCACAGGAGGGGCAGGTCACCCCAGAGAGGGCATGGGGTGGCAGGTTACCCCAGGGAGGGCAGGAGGGGCAGGTCACCCCAGGGAGGGCACAGGAGGGGCAAGTCCCCCCAGAGAGGGCACAGGGGGGCAGGTCACCCCAGGGAGGGCACAAGAGGGACAGGTCCCCCCAGGGAGCGCACAGGAGGGGCAGGTCACCCCAGAGAGGGCATGGGGTGGCAGGTTACCCCAGGGAGGGCAGGAGGGGCAGGTCACCCCAGGGAGGGCATAGGAGGGGCAGGTCCCCCCAGAGAGGGCCCGGGGGGGCAGGTCACCCCAGAGAGGGCACAGGAGGGGCAGGTCCCCCCAGAGAGGGCATGGGGGGAGCAGATCACCCCAGAGAGGGCTCAGGAGGGGCAGGTCACCCCAGAGAAGGCATGGGGGGACAGGACACCCCAGGGAGGGCATAGGAGGGGCAGATCACCCCAGGGAGGCACAGGAGGGGTAGGCCATGAGGGAGGGTCCTGTTGACCCCAGTGGCCTCCCTGCAGCTGTGCACTGTGGGAGTATTCCAGACTGTTCCGTGGGACCAGGCCACGGCGACCAGCTTGTCTGAGGCCCGCAGTGAGTGACGACCTGACTCTAAATGAGTAAAGGAGTAGGTCAGCTTGGCGCTCTCGCGGCCGAGGCAGCCGGGCCCGCCTGTCCACCTGTGACACACACCCTCAAAGCAGCTCTCAAAGCGTGCTGGAGGATGTGCATGCCCCAAACCCGGACAGGCTGGAGAGACGGAGAGGAGGTGGCGCCCATACCCCATTTGGGAGTGCCTTCCTCTCTCTGTCTCTTGTCTCTGGCTCTGTCTCTCTGCCTCTGGGGTGAGCACAGTTGTGTGCAGAGATTTCCGCATTTTTCTTGCACCTGAATAACCTCGTGCTTTAGTTCCGCTTCCACAAACGTTCTGAAGTCCTGTGCTTGGTGACAGGAGCGGCCTGGCATCCCTCCCAGCGTTTGCACGGACGCTCCAGCCTCCGCTCTTGGTGGGAAAGCCCCGGGAAGCGCTGTGCTCAGTGGCACGTGGTCTCTGTTTTCCTACAGAAAATGCTCGACTACCTGAAGGAAAAGAAGGACGTGGGGTTCTTCCAGAGCCTGGCCGGCCTCATGCAGTCCTGCAGGTGAGCCGGCCGCCTCTCAGGCCTCTCCCACCCTGACCCGGCTGAGACTGGAGCACGCTTCGTTTCCCCAGGCAGGGCCTGTCTCGGGCCTCACCTTCACCCACTCAGCAGCCGCATGTGTGCAATGCTCTCCCTCGGGCCGCCTGGAACCTGGCGGAGCCCAGGCACCTCCTGAGTCTTTAAGAATGACTCGTGGATGGTTTTTAAACAGAGAAGAGAAGCTATTGCGTGTTGTTCGGGAGCAGGTAGGGCAGCTCTCATTTGCCTGTGACTAGGCCCGACCCTGCCCACCTGACAAGCCCATGCCCAGTGCTCCTGGTGCTGGAAGGCTCTCCGACGGCACTCGCCCAGGATGCCCCCACGTGCCCATGTGGTCGGCGCCTCTGGTGGCAGAGATGTCTCCGCAGACGTGTTTCTGTGCGTCCGCCATCCGCGAGGCGCTCCCCAGGAGGCTGTCCCCTCACGGGGCCCGGAGAGTGCCACATGCCCCTCTCGTGGCTGTCCTGGGGCACGAGCTCGTGCGAGGGCGAGGACGTGTACAGCATGGCGGCCACCAGCTCACAGTTCGGGGTGAAGGTTAGGGACCCCAGTGCTCCGGGACAGACGGGCTCAGCATGCTCACCCCTGTCATTGCAGTGTCCTTGACCTCAACGCCTTCGAGCGGCACAACAAGGCCGAGGGACTGGGGATGGTGACGGAGGAGGGGTCAGGTATGTGTCACCTGCCCCTTCCCTGGACGAGGCCCTGTCAGTCACCTTTTCAAGCAGAGAGAGGCCTTTTCCAGTTGGTGAGATGCTCACAGGCTGGGTGGTCACCGTAACCATGCTGTCGCGGGTGCCCAAGCCTGGTCCCGGTCGGTCCTGAGCTTGCCCCAGTCCAGCTGTCCGGGCCTTCCTCCCAGTTGGGTTTTTTGACGGGGTCTCGCTATGTTGGATCCCCTGCCTGCCTCTGAGTGGCTGGGACTGCAGTGTGCAGCATGGCACCCGCGGGCTCCCAGGGCCGGCCATGGCCAGGCCTCTCCTACGGCCTCAGCCTGCTCAGCAGCAGCGTTGCCCAGCTTTGCTGGGGGCCTGGCTGGGCACCTGGCTGGGCTGCGTCACGGGTTTTCAGTGAGAGAGGAAGGTACGTGTTAGGGCCAGCATGTGGTGTGGTGGTTAAGGCGGCTGGGTCCCACGTGGCTGTCCCAACCTGGTGGTTTCAAAAACATGCTTGACGCACGCTTGTGTGTGTGTGCGTGCACACGCGTGTGCCCAGATTCCCCAGAGGAGAATGGAGGAGAAGGGGGCCCAATGTGGCCATCCCCGGGGGCTTTCCCATTTCCTCTGTCTCACTCTGGCAAATGCTCATGCCCTACAACAGAAATGAGAGAGAGAGCCCTTCAGAGAGGAACCCCCGAAGCACACGGCGGGCCGAGGGCAGGCGTGGAGCTGAGAGCTGGCTGGGCACTTCCAGGCCAGGGCGGCCCTGCCACCGTCTGTCCAGGAGCATTTCGTTTCGGTTGTGTTTGCTCTTTCGTGCTCGAGTGTTACAGAGCGTTAGTGCTGGGGGGGGGGGGCGCGTCTGCTTCACCTGCCTGGGCTGGTTTGGGGTTCGTCGTGCCGGCCGTTATTGGGCCTGTCTTACTTCAGGAGAAGAATCCCTCCCGCCCGCCACGTGGCCCTGGCTCTCCCGTCCGTCCCCACTGCTGTCCCTCCTGGGCAGGCCCTTCCTGATGGTGTGGGACGGTGGGACCTTGTGAGACCGCAGCCCTGGGGGTGGTGAGGAGGCAAGTCACCGCATGCCTCGGCCCGCAGTCCCCGCCGAGCCCTCAGGGAGCCAGCCCCGCTCTGCCCTGGCCCTGCGGTCCGGTCTGAGGGCTGCCGGGCAGGACGCCGCCTGGCGCCCGTTTCCGCATCTCTGCCGATGTCTCACCCTCGCTCTTCAGCTTTTTGCAGCGACAGATGCTATTCCCAATCTGGGTCATGCTGCCGTTAGGAGCCAGTGTCCCTTCATGCTTGGACGGGACGGCGTCAGGTTGTTTACACTCTGCGCTGTGCGGACCCTACTGACATGGAGGCCGCCATGCCCCATCCTCGCCGAGCTCAAGTCCCCGTGTCCCCAGGCTGGGCCTCCCAGTGGGTGAGAAGAAACCCTCAGTAAATGTACTTGGCGTGTTTACCACGCCCGTGCCAACTCCACAGGCTTCACACTCACGCGTGTCCCCTTCAGTGCCGCACCGAAGTGGAAACACAGACCCTGTGTGGGTAGTGCCGGCCCCGCTCCGCCGGGGGCTTTCAGGGTGTGCTCTACGAGAACCGTGCAGGCCCATGGTCAAATCACTGTGCAGACGTGACCTCCCTTGTCTGAACTCCGAGCGGAAGGTGCCCTGCAACTGTCCGGCGGTCCTGGCTCCACAGGCAAGGTGGAATTTCCAGGTGGATCCGATTCTGTTCAAATCGTTTGATTTTCAAAAACCTTGTTAAACCCACCTACCGTTGCCCTCCCCCAGATTTCTGCTTGGTCTGACGTGAGCCCCGGGGGCGCCGCGAAGCCTAACTGTAATTAATCAGGCAGAGGCTGGTTCGAGCAACCCCTCTCACCTACCCCAACGTTGTTAACGTCTGCTCGCTCGGTCGTTTATGGGCTGGCACCAGGTTTTTAGAGTACTTGGCAGTGTGGCCTGCCCTCCCACCCACCTTTCTTCAGGAGAAGCCCCGATGCTGGTCCATGCAGCAGACAGCTTCTCCCACCCCTGCAGCTTCAGACCCAGCACTCTCGCTCCACACGGCAGCCGTGTGCTGGCGGTCCCTGTCCCCCTGCAGACCTACCGCGTGCTCATGCTGTGTGGGAGGAGGCCGTGGAGCCTCCGCACAGATGCAGCTCGGCCTGAGTAGTCTCCGTGGGCGAGGCCGTCCGGGCCACGTGACAGGCAGGGTCGGAGGCACAAGACGTGCAGGCAGCCCCGACCTGGCGCGGTTGCAGGGACGTGGTCCGGGAGGCCATCCCGGATGCAGCATTGTGCTGGCTTACGTGTTCAGTGCCCCCAGGGATGGAGTGCCCAACACCCGCAGCCCCCACAGCGCTGTGGGGGCAGACAAGGAGGTCAGAGTGCACAGAGCCGTTGGCCGACATGGTACACGAGCCAGCTCCCGTGACGGTGACCGTGAGCAAGTGGATGCGGGTGTTCTTTGGAGGAGACTTTCCCGATGAGGCTGACAGCTCCTGTGGCCGTCAGGGGACTATCACTGTATAGGCCACGTCAGGTGAGGGGCAGGGGCATCTGGCAGGACACTGGTCAAGGATGTTGGGGATTTGAGCAGTGTGCCGGCCACCGGAGACGCAGCTTGGCTCTGAGAAGCCGCCACGAATCGCGCCAAATGAAGGAATCTCTCTCCGGCAGCCACTCCCAGTGACAGGGTGGCCTGGCTTGTTTCCCACAGTGGCCATCCTTGTCGCCTCAGGATCTGGGACAGGAGCGTGTCCTCCCCAGTGGTGTCAGGCGTCTGGAGCTGGCAGCCTGCCATGCCCACGGCCTGCTGGACTTCGGTCCTCTGGGCTCTGCTTTCACCACATCAAAGCTCTACACTCGATCCCTCTGTGCTTCATGGGTTTCAGAGCATCACTCCTGTTTTGAGCCAGTGACCCTCCCACGGCCCTGTGAAATAAGGCCTGCAGGCCCAGCAGGTAGCGTGGTAGCTGAGGTGCTGAACTTGCACATGGCTGACTGCATTTTGAATCCTGGACCTGGTGGCTTGAAACTCATGCCAGACTTGTGTGTGTGTGTGTGCTCCCAAAGTCCCAAGAGGAGACTGGAGGAGAAGGGATTGCAGCATGACCATCCCCCCAGGGGGTGATGTCTCACTCTCCCCCTTTCATCTCTGTCTCTCCAGTGAGTGCATGTGCCCTATGGCAAAAATCTCCCCCAAATAATAATAATAATAATAATAATACCTAGGCTTGCTAGGTGACCTTTCTTGTAGGCCACAGATCTAGAAATGGCTTCCCTTGGGCCCTGGAACTGCTGGAAACAAGTACCCACCTAAAATAAAATATCCGATTTTCTAACATTTAAAAATATGTTAGTGGGTCCGGCAGGTGGCGTGGTGGTTAAGGGCACTAGACTCCCACGGCTGACCACGGTTTGAGTCCTGGACCTGGTGGCTTGCTTTCTCACTTTCTGTCTCTCGCTCTCTCACTCTGTCCCTCTCTGGTCACATTTAAATACATACATAAAATAATTCTTTACAAATGTATTTCGTACTAGCTGTGCTCTGCTGTCCTTGTGCAGACCGGGTACCCGCGCGCTCAGGGCAGCTGTCAGGATGCCGGCCCTCTGCCAGTGGGTGCCCCCAGCAGCAGTCCGAGAGATTGCAGGGACCCTCGGGCTTGGCCAGCCTCCGTCTCAGCTTTTCCCCGCTGGAGACGTTGGCGTGCCGTGATGGGAACGTCAGTCCTTCGGAGTCGGTTTACCCGGATGCCCTTACCGCCACCGCTCTCGGGGGTCTTTACCTACTTCCTTCAAGCTCGTTCCGGTGGCTGATGACTGATGGCCAGCACTCATCATTGGTGACGATTAGCACTTAAATTAGCTTCCTCTGGAGAACAGGCTGAGTCCATGCTGGGCCAGGGCGTGCGGCCCTGCAGCCCCTCGTGGAGCCAGCCGAGCGGGACGGCGGCCGCCAAGGGTGGGTGCGCAGTGGCGGGACCTGCGCTTCTCCTGAGCTCAAGCAAACGTCTGCCTGGCCTAATTTATTCCCAAGTGAAAATCTGCAATTTTGAGAACGTTCTGATGTGTTAAAATTATGACAGTGTTCAAAGCTACCCAGTAATAAAAATCCGCTGACGCCGCGCCGAGGCCCCACCTCCGCCTGCTCTGGGCCAGCGCTCCAGCATCCGTTACTCTTCCCGACGTGCGGAAGGTGCCCGGGGCGATGCAGGCGCTGCTCGCCCCCGTCTCAGGCCTGAGTGGGCTCGAGCAACAGCAAAGCCCTAGCGAGACAGTGGGGCCGACTGCTCCCCTGGCAGCCCCAGATCCCTCGCACCAGGTCCGCAGAGGTGGAGGCACAGCCGGGCGCCCGGAGTCCTCCTGGCAGTGCGCTGTCTGGGAATCCAGCCACTCTGCATTGCTGCTGTGACAGACTGCCTCGGCCTTCCCTCTGGA